TTGAGTTTACAACATTCTACAAGAAATAACAGAGATAAATCAAATCCTCACTATCAGGCCAAGTCCATCCTTCATCCGCCTTTCCGAGATCCAACGGGTCCATACCACAAACTCTCTTTGTCCTACTCCGCCGCCTCCTCCTCCTCCTCCTCTTCCCTCCTCTCCTCTCCTCTCCCTCTCCTCTCCTCTCCGCTCCATCACTGCGCCTGCTTCTCATCCACCATCCTCATTGTCTTATCAGTAGTCCAACGGCATGTTGTCCCAGGTGTTCTTGGGAGGATCATAGGGCCCCAGCAGCGCGCGGAGCTCCATCGACTTGGGCTCTGAGTACTTCCCCCTGCATTCAACAGTCAGGGAGAGAGCACTGGCACGAGCACGGGCAGGAGAAGAGGGAGAGGAACATGTGGGGGGAGGAAGACGAGGAGGACGAGCAGCAGCAGCAGCAGCAGCAGCAGCAGGATCTCACGAAGGCAGGTAGTCCAACACGTTTTCCTCGGGCTGGGAGGGAGCCCTCCACTTCAAGTCCTTGGGGGCGTATCCCCTGCGGAAAGGAAGTCACGGTCCTGGACCAGAGCAAGCAGGAGCATCAGAGAATCAGGAGCATCAGCACGAGCAGGACGAGCAGGACGAGCAGGACGAGCAGGACGAGCAGGACGAGCAGGACGAGCTTCAGCTTACACGAACGGAATATCGAAGGCGTCGGAGTCTGCAAAGACGTTCTGCTGCTCAGGGTCGTAGCCACTGCCATGGCTGTCGGTCCACTCGTGCTTGCTCGTATCGAGGTCGGCGAGCGGGTCTTGCACGTCATCATCAAGAACCTTGCGGATATGACATGAGCGAACGCATGGCATGCAGGGAAGGAACAAACCGAGTATTGCTTCCTTGGAGAGTCATCGACGGCGATGACCAGCAGCGTGAAGAAGGCAAGGGCGGCAAGGTATGCTCCCGCCAGGACGAGGCCATTGCGAGATCTCCGAGAGTCGAACCGAGAAGAGAAACCTGAGTGAGCCGGCGATGAGCTGCTGCAAGGCATCTGGCCCATCCCCTACTGGTTTGGCACCTCCTGTCCACCCTACCCATATCGCCAGCCCTCCACGGCAGCCAACAACTATCACGTTCCTCTCCCTCACTTCCTCTATGACGTATGTACACATGCTGTCGCTATGCCCTTAGCAGTTAATTGCATGCATGATGCCGTCCCCTCGTACTTATATACCTGCTTTTGCACTACAGCTCCCTATCCTGACTCAATCTGCTAACCTTTCCTCTTCCTCTTCTTCTTCTCCTTCTTCCCCTCTCCCTCCCCCTCTCTTAGCGTACAATGCTTTCCTCCTCCCCTCACTCTCAGCCTCTTCCTCCCCCCCTCCCCCTCCTCCTCCTCCTGTTGTTGTTGTTCCTGCTACTGTTGCTCCTGCACCCGCTCCTGCTCCTGCTCCTGCTCCTGCTCCTGCTCATGCTCCTGCTCTCAGCCTCACATGCTCCTGCTCCTGCTCCTGCTCCTGCTCCTGCTCCTGCTCATGCTCCTGCTCATGCTCCTGCTCCTGCTCCTGCTCATGCTCATGCTCCTGCTCCTGCTCTCAGCCTCGCATGCTGCTCGTCTTCCTTCTCCTCTCTCTTGTCTTGGTCTCCCGTCATTCTTACCGTGATCGAAGAGATCTACCGCCATGGCTCTTCGTTAGGTATGACCACCCCACCTCTTTAGATACCAACAAACATACCGGTCTATTTCTGGCAGAAATCAAGTTTTATGTACCGGTACTTGAAGCACCCCACCCATGCAAGGTGTTATTTTCCGATCGAAGGTTTTTAATTCGGGTCCGCCTCGTCCATCATTTGTCACACGGCCACGCGGGGCTGGGCCCGCCGCACAGTCACTCAGTGGCCGGGCCGGGCACCGTCCGGCGGCGGATCATCGGACCCTGATCACCCCGGGCCGGAGTCGGACCCGGGCCGGGTGGCCCCGGCGGACTCGGTGCTGAGCCGCCTCGGGCCGGCCCCGGTGGGACTCCCTCAGTAAGGCTTGTGACTTGAGGGCGTTGAGTGTCGGAGTATTAGTAGTAAGTTTTATGATTCATTTGAATAGGCTGCGGCAAACTGGCACGCGGCACCATCAAAAACCTTTAGCCGCTTGCCAAGTCTCGGATTAGCTCTGAGAGACGCAGGCTGCAGAAGCTTCAATTAACATGCCCAAAGCCTACTAGGATCGGATAGCTGGCAGGCTCAGTGCCAATGATACCCTACCGTACATCTCAACATGCAACCATGATAAGATCTTGACCTGGTTCTCCTTGTCCTGAAAATACAAAGAAGTCAACCCCCTCTCCTCCCCTTCTCCCCCCCTTCTCCCCTCCTCTACTGACCTGACTCTCCCGCTGCCCATGCCTCCCTGCATGTTCGCTGAAGCTTCCTCGCAAGGCTCCTCCCCGACTCTTCCGAGATCCCGTTCCCCACCTGCTCCCCGTCACCAGCCAATGGTCACCGTCAGGCCTCCAACGCCCTCTCACACACCCTCTACCATCCCCCCTCCCCTCCTCTCTCCTCGCCGTCTCCAGCTGCCCGCCCCTCTGCCTACCAGGTCCAGCATGCGGATCTGGCAGTGACGGCTGTGCTCTAGCCAGTGCTCAAGGAACGCCGCGCCCTCCTCCCCGAGGTCGTTGTTTCTCTGCTCGCGCACACGGAGGCCCTTCAGTCCCCGCCCGACCCTCTCGCCCGCCTCCTCTCCTCTCACCATGTCCAGGTCCCGCAGGCTCGGCATCTCCCGCAGCCCCGCGAAGAGGATGGCGGCTCCCTTCCCGTCCACCTCGTTGCAGCGCATCTTGAGCGACCTCAGGCCGGGCACGAGCTCGAGGCCCCCGCGGAGGTAGAAGGCTCCCTCGTTGCCCAGGCTGTTCCAGTCCTGCCGTCGCCTCGTCAGCCAGCGCCGCCTCTGCCTCCTCAGGCTGCGCTCCCAGCAGACCCTTGCTCGGTCCTCGTGCTCGCGTACCAGGTCGAGGTACTGCAGGTCGGGGGTGTGCTTGAAGCCCGCGAACAGCTTCCGCGCTCCCTCTCCGGAGATGCGGTTGCTCCGCTGACCCATCCTCCCGTCAGTCCCTCGGCTTCGTCCTCCCGACGGCCACCACGACCGCCCGGACGTACCAGCTTGAGGCTTCGAAGGCGGGGCATCGTCTCCAGGCTGTTGGCGACCTCGTCCATGGCGTCGTCGCTGAGGCCGCAGTAGGTCTGAGAGGGCAGGCACGTCAGGACAGGCTTGGAGGGGGAGCGGGCAGGGAGTGACAGGGCTGAAGCACTAGCACTAGGAAGGAGGAGATGAAAGGGAGGGAGGGGATGGAGCTTGTCTCCGCTGGGGGTCAGCTGACTGACTAGAGGCACACGCTCGGCCTGACCGTCGTCTACCGCATCCTGCCGGTCCTCGGCTCCCTCCCTCTGTCTCTCTTGGCCCTGCCTGCTCCTCTTGCTCAAGGCTCCTTACCAAGTCCAGCGTGTGCGGTCCTCTCCAGCCCTGGTCGTGGGCTTGTCGGAGGCTCGGGAGGGCTGCGAGGAAAGCGGCGGGGTTGGAGGCCTTGAGCGAGATGTCGGCGGCCTGATGGCGCATCAACCAGGCGGCAAGGGACTGGGAGTCAGCTGGGGGGTGCTTGAGCTCGACGAGGAGGAGGACGTCTGCGAGGGTGGAGGGGGAGGCGAGGTTGAGGTCAGCTCTGATGCGCTTGCTGGACTGTAGGAGAGAGGTCAGAAGGGAAGTATCATCGAGGGAGGGAGGGAGGGAGGGAGGGATGATAGGGAGGGAGGGGAAGAGGGGAGGGAGGGACACCTGCTCGAGGACGAGGGTTCGGTCGGGGGGGCACAGGAGGGGATGTAGAGTAGGGACAGAGAAGAGATCCAAGAGGGAGACGGTCATTGTCGATCGTAAGTTTGACTGTTTTTGTCTGTCGGAATGCTGTTGATCAGAACGAGCACAAGAGTATTTGTAGTAATTCTTCGGCCGCTTCTATCTCCTCGTACTAGCATATCTTCCTTCCCCGCTCCCTCCCTC